GTCTACATAGTGAGTTCCAGGACAGCTGGGGCTACAAGGAGACCCTGTCTCAAAAAAAAAAAAACAAAAAAAACAAAAACAAAAAAATAAATAAATGAATTAATTTTGTTTCTTGACAGTTTCATACATGCGTAACTGTGTTCTGATTACTCTATCCCCACCCTCTCCTACCACGGAGGTCAGAAGAGGGCTTCGATTCCCCTGGAACTGGAGTTAAGGATGGTTTGTAGCCGTCATGTGGGCGCTGGGAATTGAACCTGGGTCCTCTGCAAGAGCAGTCCGTGCTCTTAACTGCTGAGCCGTCTCTCCAGCCCCAGCTTTTGCCCTTCTTAACACTTCTTTTCTTCCTTTCCTCTCTCCGTCTCTCCCAGGGCCTCCTCAGAGCGCTCCCTCACATCTGACACCTTCTCTTGACTTCCCGCCATGTTCCCGGTGCTCACCTCACACACCTCCCTCCCGTAATGCCCTCCACATTCCCGGTTCATGATGAAGCCAAGTCCCATGTGGAGGGCAGCAGAGACCATGGCTACGGCCAAGGACATGGGTCCCCTAGAAAGAATAGTGGGCTTCCCTGTGACTGGGGAGGGGGATGCTTAGTGGCCCCAGGTCTTAGGGTGCCTGAGATCTGGAGTCTGTGGCTCTTGGTTTGCTCGGCTGTAATCTTGTGTCTTGTGTACGGGCTGATTTCTTAGTCCCTGAGGGAAGCATTTTGGCTGCTCCTACCTCAAAATTCTCATTTAATGTTTAGCATAATGGCTTGCCTTATCGGTTTTGCTTAGTATTTGCCACAACCCCTACACACTCTAAATTACACATCTGTTTGGATAATGTGGGTGGATTTGTTAGAGTTAAGAAACATTTGGTATTTTGAATTTAATCCTAACTATATTTCACAAGGAATCTTCTAGAAACACAGTATAGATTATCTAGTGCTAAGCCAAGTCCTTGGAACATCTCACCCTGCATTCGAGCCTGTCTTAGCTAGGTCTGATATCTTTCTAGCTGACAGCAGACCTGGCTCTGCCCTCACTGCCCCGAGCTGGTGTCCAGTAGTTGAAGAACTGACTGTTGATGAGCCTCCTTTCTGGCAGTGTTTGCACTTCTGGCAAACAGGTGAGGCAGGAATGTGACTCATTAGAGATTAAATTCAGCTCCTGGCTTGGTTTCTGATTTATAACTAGGCAGTTCCAGGGCCAGATCTGGGGCTGAAGTGACAGGACTGGAGGTGGGAGAGTTTCAGGGTGGCTGGGGCAGGGTTAGGGGAGGAGGCCTTGGTGGGTGTGGTCTGGTTGTGGCTGACAGCAGCACTCTGTGGGCATGAGCGATAACAATTGCCCGCTCCTTCCGCCTCACCCCACCAGCAGGATTCGGAACCACGGATGTTTATTCTTAGGAATGAACGCACCTACACGGGGATAAATTTTGCTGTTTTAGGTTCCTCCGCCCCAAACCATTCCTTTCAAATTGCCGTGACCCCAAAACTCCCTATTGGATGCAAATACTTAATTTCTCAAGGACAGTTGAACTATAGAGGAGGAGGGGGAAAGAGGGGTAGTCCTAGGGGAGTTTTGGGGGTCACAGCAAATCAAAAGCAGCAAGTGCTCTTCACTGAGCCATTTCTCCAACTCCCTATTTATACATTTTTTAATTGACACCTAATAACTGAAAATACTTATAGGGTACAGTTTGGTACTTCAATACATGCATACTACATGTATCAGTCTGATCAAAGTAATCTGTTCACTCATTGCCTCAAACTTTTGATCATTTCTTTGTGGTGGGAACATTCAAACTCCTCTCTCCTGGCATTTTGGAATACAGCTCTCCTACCATGCTATAGAATTAGAAGTTCCTCCTCCTCCTATCCACTGTCCCATGTACCCATCATCGATCATCCCTTCTCTGCCCTCCTTCACCATCATACCACATAACTATGTCCCCAGATCCCGAGTAAGCTCTAGGGCTCCACCTGTCTGTCTCTCCCCAGGGCTGATCATCCCTTCTCCAGCCCTCCTTCACCATCATACCACATAACTATGTTCCCAGATCCCGAGTAAGCTCTAGGGCTCCACCTGTCTGTCTCTCCCCAGGGCTAGATCACAGGTGGGTGTGTGCTATTATACCTGGCTTTTGTTTTGTGGGTTCTGAATTCAGGTCATCATGGTTGGATAAAACTTGGATAAAAACGCAAACTTTTTATCTAATGAGCCACCTCTCCAGCCCTTAAATTTACTTAAAAATATTATTTATTTCATATGTATGAGTGTATTGCTTGCATGTATGTAAGTGCACCTGTGTTGTGCAGTGCCCATGGAGAACAGAGGAGGGTATCAGATCCCCTGGAACTGGAGTTATGGATGGCCATGTGGGTGCTGGGAATTGAACCCGGGTTCTCTGCATGAGCAGCCAGTGCTCTTAACTGTTGAGCCATTTCTCCAGCCCCACCCCTCTCTAAATTTACTTTTTATTTTGAGATGGGATTTTACTAAGTTGCTCAGGCTGCCTAGAAATTTCTGCCCTCTTGCCTCAGCCTCCTTCAAAGCTGAGATGACAGATGTGCTACCAATCCCAGCTTCTATTCCCGAATTTCATATTAACGGAAGTTTGTACGGCTGGTACTCACATTTACACAGCAGTTAAAATGATTTTGTTAACAGTATTGTAAACTGTACCTAGAGAAACAAGTTTGTTCCCAAGACTCTGGCAAAACCCCAGGCTGAGACCTTAGAAGGGGAAGAACTTGGCAGGGTGAAGTTGATAAAGACGCAGGTGATTCCTTCTCAGGGAGAGGGGTCAGAGGCAGGCCTGTGGGAGGAGCTAGGCCAGAAGCCATGACAGGGCCCCTGGACAGATGGACGTGGTGTCCCTGTCAGAGGCCTGGTTTTGCAGGGGCTGCTGAGGACCTAAGTCCTCCAGAGCAGGCCAGTTGCATGCACAGTTCTCTGCAGGACGCTGCTGGGGAGGGAAGACCTTGGGTACCCATCTGCCTTTCCCGTGGAGAGCTCATACCAGTGGCAGGCTGCTGGGAGAGAATGAGGCCTGCAGAGGCCCCATCAGCCAGCTGAGCACATACTCCGCCACAGCCCCTCTGTATGGCCACAGCCCCTCTGCATGGCCTGACCGGCCCACACAGAGACTGCGTCCACTCACTGTGCAGCAGAACTCCCAGTCCACACTCTCTCCCTCAGGTCTGCTCTTGATGTTGCTGTATTTCATTCAAGGTGGGTCGAGAACTGGGAGGATTCAGGGAAGGGGTCTCTGGGGTCCTGGTTAGTGTGAACCGTCAACTTGACAGAGCGAACAGTCATCCCAGAGGAAAGCTTCCATGGAGAAATTGCCTAGATCAGATTGGCCTGCAGGCCCGTCCTGGGGGATCGTCTGGATTGTTGACTGGTCTAGGACGGCCCAGCCCACAGTGGGCGGCACCACTCCCGGAGCGGGTGGTTCTGGGCTGTGTAAGAAAGCTAATCTTGAGCTAGTGAGCCAGCAACAGAGTTCCTCCATGGTTTCTGCCTCCAGATTCCTGTCTCCGTTCCTGCTCTGACTGCCCTCAGTGATGGATTGTGACCCAGACGTGTGAGCCAAATAATCCTTTCCTCCCCAAGCTGCTTTTGGTGAGAGTGTTTTACCACAGCGACAGAAAAGCCAAGGAGAAGCCTGGGCTGCGGCACATGCTCCTCGCAGTGAGACCCACAGCCTGGCACCTGCATTAGATGCATTTATTGACCAGTCACAGCCAGACTATCGTCCTTCGGGGGGCACCAAGCAGGAGGGAGGCTGTGGGGCTGCAGCAGACCTGGGGAGGTGCTGTTCCTTGGGGTCCTGGTCCTCCAGGTCAGCTCCCTCCCTCCTCCTCAGGGCCCTCCAGGACAGAGAGGGTGTGGCCTGTGGCAGCACTGTGGGGGTGGTAGCGGCCTCTGTTGAGGTTCCTCAGGCAAGGACAGCTTCTCTAGGAAACCAGATGAATACCTTCAGGGGGCTACCCACTCCTCATTAAGGCTCCCCCTCCCCAGGTTCTCCGACCAGCTCCTGGCTGTTCTGATGCTCTCTCTTGCTGGCTCTAACCTGCCATTTCTGTGTAGCTCTCTCCCAGTTCCTGCTTCCTGTTATCCCCACAAGGCTCTGTTCTCTGTCCCTCTGTCTCCCTCACTTTCTCATACTTCTGCTTCAGAGAAAGGGGTTCCCACTCTCCAGGTACTCACGAGACCGACGGCAAGCCCCACAGCAAGAATCACAGCCATTCCCACAGAAGCCAGAGCAGTTAGGGCAACTTTCCAGGGCCTCAGCTGGCCCTTCGGGTTTCCCTCACTCCCTGGGCTGGTTGGGCTTGTGCTGGTGACATTGGAGGTTGTCACGGTTGTATTGTTAACATCAGAGGTTGTCACTGCTGTGTCAGTGACATTAGAAGTTGTCAATGCTGTGTCGGTGACATTAGAAGTTGTCAATGCTGTGTCGGTGACATTGGAGGTTGTCACCACTGTGTTGGTGGCATTGGAGGTTGTCACAGTTGTGTTGTTAACATCGGAGGTTGTCGCCACCGTGTCGGTGACACTGGAGGTTGCTGCTGTACCAGTCCCACCTGAGCCAGGATGCATCGCTGCTGTACTTATCCCAGGAGTGGTAACTCCAGAGGGATTGGATGTGGTTGGTCCAGGGACAGAGCTTGTGTTGCTCTGACTGGAACCTGTGGTTGATACGGTGGGATAGGGATGGAGAAAGAGTGGTTGGTTCATTCCACTGGAAATTTAGTTTGGTTCAGCAGCTACTAATTAGAATTTCTACTCATCATGACAGTAATGATAGCTGTCGATGAATCTGGCTGTGCTAAGTGCCACCCACACAGAAAACAGCACCTCAGATCCGCACAATCCCTCTCCGAGGTAGGAACTGTTACATTTAATAGACTGGGAAATTGAAGGTTAGAGATAGAAAGGAACTGGTTCTGGGCAGATGGTGGTAGACCAGGCCTTAAGTCAAAGTGGTCTGACTCCAGAGCCAGCTCTGAACCCATACGCTATTCTGTATCTGAGGTGTGGGGGAGTCGGGGGCAGGACCCGAGTGACTTAATGGCACTGTGTCCTAGAGTATGGGCCAAAGGGATGCGACAGAAATGTTGAGATGCGACAGAAACGTGTGCTTTACTACCAGGCAACCCTCACACTCTCAAAAGTTTGGGAGTCACGGGCTGGAGAGATGGCTCAGTGGTGACAAGTGCTGGCTGCTCTTCCGGAGGACCTGGGTTTGATTCCCAGCACCCATGTGACGGCGAGCAACCATCCGAAACTTCAGTTCCTGGGGATCCAACGCCCTCTTCTGGCCTCCATGGGCTTTGCATGACACAGGTGCACTTACACACACAGGCAAAACACTCATACACACACACACACAAAAATTGGGGCATCTCCAGTCCAAGGATTCCAGAAGCCGTGACACACAGCCTAGCAAACCCCACCAGGTCCGGCTTGACGATCTCCCAGCTTCCTTGGTTGGTCAGTTAGAGTTAAGGGGAGATCAAATTTAGATTTCGGGGGAAGACGTCAAAAAGTTCATATTCATCCCAGCAATTAGGGTTAGAGGCAGAGTTAGACAGTGAGTGAGGAACTGGGAGGAAAAACTGCTAGAAGGAGAGACGGTTGGTTTACTTTGTGTTTCTTCAGAAGTACAAAACAAGTAAGTCAAATCATGATTTTGGAAAATTCCAGAAAGAATTAAAGCCATGAGATGGGAAGAGCATGAAATGTGTGGCTGGTGGCCATGAGACCCTCAGTGATGCTGGAAGTGGATCCTGCCTTGATGGACTGTCAGACACTAACTTCGAGATCCCTCCCAACTCTATTGCATCTGTATTGGGGATTGATTTATCATAAAGGGAGCTGGTCAGATTTCTGAGCCAAGGAAGCAGGACAGAGGACAGAGGACGAGCTGGGCTGGAGACAGCCGCAAACACCCACCTTCAATCAGAAGACACAAATGAAACCCGGTCAACATTTTCCCAAACTCTACTTGGACCCCAAGATCATCCTCTTGTAAGTCACTCACTTACCACTTCCCAGAAGGAGAAGGTGGAGCAGCCAGAATGCTGGCAGAAACACGTTCCTCTCCATCTTGAGGTATCTGCCTGCAGTGCAGGAAGGGAGGTCCTGAGTCCCAGATCCAATGTCCTGGAAGGAAAAGATGCAGACCGGTGCTGAGAATGGATGAGCCCCAAGGTGGAGATCCCGGCTGGAGCCCTGGCCACCCGGGACTGTGCAAAATGGGTCCTCAAGCTGAGGAGGAGCTCCAGTGGGGATCCCGGGGCCACAGGGTGGGGAGGCTGGATGCAGGTCCCTTTGCTCCCTCCATAGAAGGTCACCTCCTTTTTCTTTCAAGGAAGGCCTTTATACATCGTCTGAACTGGGCAGGGGCCAGCCACAGAGCCTGTTCTTGCTGTTGTGAGCAGTGACAGGCCACCTGAGCTCAAAGAGGAGGGAACAGAGGCCAGGAGACACTGGAGATGGAGAACCACTTAGTCCTGGCAGGTAAGGCCTGGGGAGGTGCAGGAAGCAGGGCAGTTGAGGGGATCAAAGCTGTCAACATGGAGGAGACCCACCCACTGAGGCAGAGACAAGCTGGGGACCTGTTCTAGCTCAACACCTCCTTTCCTGGAAGCGAAGATCAGAGTCCTGGGACATCTAGGGGTGCAAGGCGTGAGGAGGCAATCCCAATGAACCCTAAAAAGCAAGGTTTCCTGTGAACGAGACAGGGCCTCTGGGTGTTGCTGAATTCAGAGAGGGTGTGCAAAGCGTATCTTGAATGAGTGGAGAGAAACGGGAGAAGATGGACTCGAGTCTATGGAGAATGGGATCTCTGGGGTATATAGGAGGGGGATGGGAGGCTGTGGGGGCAGAGTTATTTGGTCTTTTTGAGGCAGGGTCTCCCTGTAGCCCCAGCTGGCCTGGAACTCGCTATGTAGACCAGACTGGCCTTGAACTCACAGAGATCCGCCTGCCTCCGCCTCCTGAGTGCAGGGATTAAAGACGTGGGTTGCCCTGCCTGGCCCCAAATAATTTTTTTAAGTCGAAATGCTCCCAATGCACCGCTTCCTGCTGTGCCAGTTCATTTCACTGATCTCTGCCCACGAGGAGCCATACGTCAAGCACATGATTAGTGGCAATGGTGGATAAAGGCACACTGTCCATCTCTTCCCAGCTCTGAGTTCCCATGATTCAAAAGGGCAGCAAGGATTCAGTCACAGAAGACCGTGTTAGACCTTCCCCAGTCACACATGGAGGGATCTACTGAGGGCCACGGCAAGTGGAGGTATGCTTCTGCCTCCAGCCTGTCCCAGATATTTCATAATCAGTTACTATGTATTGGTCATTGACCTCCAGTAAACAAGACAGAAAAATGCTTTTCTAGAACTGGAATCCCAAGACAAAAGAACTGTGAGTGAATGAGTTTTAGAAGTGGGCAGAGAAGGGACCAAGCTAGAAACTGAGTGTTGGGTGGCCGTGGCAGAGGGATCACAATTCTGCAGTGCCTGGGAACAGGCTTGGAAGTTGGGCTGGGGATGTGGCTCAGTTGGTAGAGTGCTTGCTTCCCCAGCATGCACAGAAGCCATGATGGAGGCCACGGGGGAAGCCACGGGGGAAGCCACGGGGGAAGCCATGGAGGAAGCCATGGACATGGTACCATAAAAGGAGTCCTGGAAGAGACCAGGGGAGAGGCCATGACAGTGAAGAACACAGGAAAGACCTCATGGGTCTGTTGAGAGGCCACACGATAAGGGTGACCATCTAGATCAGGGATGCTAGGGGCGGTCATAGAGAAGACAATGACAACAAAGAGCCGGGAGTGGGGATGAGCACAGACTGGAGGCCAAATGTTCTAGGCATGACCATGGGTCACGATGAGGTCAAGGACATCCTCTTAGACTCTGACCCACAAAGCGAGATCAAACAGAAAGGGATTTAGGAAGGTGCTCTCAGGCTCACTGGGTCAGGACGTTAACTCAAGAAATGCATTCCCAGGGTTCTCCCTCAGACAAGACCTCTGTTGCACTCTTGATGGGGGCAGGGTGAGTCACTGTGTTCAAAGTACTTTCATCTCCTCCTCCTCCTGCATCATTCCAGTGTCTGCCAAGGACTGACCCTGTCTTTGGAGAGCCTCCTCTATTCTCTGTCTCTTAGACGTTCCACAGACCAAGCAATGGAGAAAGAACAGAAGCTTATTCCACCGTCTAGAGGCTGGGAAGTCCAAGACCAAGGTACCAGCGTGTGATGTCTGCTGGGGGTCTGCTTGTTACCTATTCACAAGAAGGAAGGCCAAAAGACAAGCACAAAATAAACATGTCCTTACATGACAGGACAGAAGACAGACAGGAAAGAGGGAGGGGAAAGGAGGGGAGGGGAGGAGAAGGCAGGGCACTAGTACCTTAGCCCTTTACACAATTTTTTAAAATTTTACATAAGTGCACCCATGTGTGCAATGCCCAAGAAGGCCCAAAAAGGGCATCAAATTCCTTGCAACTTGAGTTACAGGAGGCTGTTAGCTGCATTTGGGTGCTGGGACCCAAACCCAGGCCTTCTGCAAGAGCATCCAGTGCTCTTAACCGTTGAGGCATCTCTCCAGTGCTCCCCTGGCCCTTTTGAAATAGCATTAATCCATGCTGCTGGTGGAGTCCCCACGACCTGGGCATCTCCAATTCAGCTAATACCAGCGACCAAGGAGAAGCTTACTAGATACTCGTAGCCTTACAGAAATTAAAGTTCATTAAGGAGTGCGGACTCCTAACCAAATACAGATTCTTTGTTAAACTTCGGGCACTTTACTGCTGTTTTCATTCTGAAAGACTTCTGTATGCCACGCACCAGGCAGGGGGGTTTTGATTCACCGCCACTCGGTCCTCACAATCCTGCCTGTGAAGTCAAGGCTATAATCCTCACAAAGCAGGGTAGAAAGCTGCAATTCAGAAAAATAACTCACACGACTAACCAAATACAGATTCTTTGTTAAACTTCGGGCACTTTACTGCTGTTTTCATTCTGAAAGACTTCTGTATGCCACGCACCAGGCAGGGGGGTTTTGATTCACCGCCACTCGGTCCTCACAATCCTGCCTGTGAAGTCAAGGCTATAATCCTCACAAAGCAGGGTAGAAAGCTGCAATTCAGAAAAATAACTCACACGAGCAAGCCGGAGCAAGTTCTTTAACTCCGGGTTTTTAAATGCTTTCAAATTACATTTAAATCTGTTTGTTTGGCGGGGCTGTGCAGGTGCCTCCGCTCACATTCAGAGGTCAGAGAATAACTTTCCGGAGATGTTTCTCTCCTTCCGTCATGTGGCTCCTAGGGATCAAAGTTATCAGGCTTGAAGAAAAGTGCTTTTACCAACTAAGGCATCTTGTCGGCACCCAGTTGATTTTAAGGAAAGAAAAATATGTCTTACTATTTAGAAATGTGTGAGAATTTTTTTTTTTATCTTTTTGAGACAGGGTCTCCCTGTAGCCCCAACTGGCCTGGAACTCACTGTGGAGACCAGGTTGGCCTTGAACTCGCAGAGATCCACCTGCCTCCAACTCCTGAGTGCTAGGATTAAAGGCATGTGCCACCACGCCTGGCAAGAATTTTTACATACAGCATGGAGTGCTGAGGTCCCAGCACCAACTGGTTACTGACCACAACCCTCATCCCTCCCCCCACATGGAACACTGCACACCAAATCAACTTTCAACGGCCCTTTACCCCACCCCTTATGTTTTCAAAGCCTGTAACCCAGGCTGGCTTTGTAGCTGAGGATGGCCTTGAACTTCTGAGCCTCCCTTAACTCCTGAATGCTGGGATTACAGATGTGTACCACCACTGCCTTCTCCTCCCCTCCTCTCCTTTCCCCTCCCTCTTTCCTGTCTGTCTTCTGTCCTGTCATGTAAGGACATGTTTATTTTGTGCTTGTCTTTTGGCCTTCCTTCTTGTGAATAGGTAACAAGCAGACCCCCAGCAGACATCACACGCTGGTACCTTGGTCTTGGACTTCCCAGCCTCTAGACGGTGGAATAAGCTTCTGTTCTTTCTCCATTGCTTGGTCTGTGGAACGTCTAAGAGACAGAGAATAGAGGAGGCTCTCCAAAGACAGGGTCAGTCCTTGGCAGACACTGGAATGATGCAGGAGGAGGAGGAGATGAAAGTACTTTGAACACAGTGACTCACCCTGCCCCCATCAAGAGTGCAACAGAGGTCTTGTCTGAGGGAGAACCCTGGGAATGCATTTCTTGAGTTAACGTCCTGACCCAGTGAGCCTGAGAGCACCTTCCTAAATCCCTTTCTGTTTGATCTCGCTTTGTGGGTCAGAGTCTAAGAGGATGTCCTTGGCTCTGTCCTTGACCTCATCGTGACCCATGGTCATGCCTAGAACCATTTGGCCTCCAGTCTGTGCTCATCCCCACTCCCGGCTCTTTGTTGTCATTGTCTTCTCTATGACCGCCCTAGCATCCCTGATCTAGACGGTCACCATTATCGTGTGGCCTCTCAACAGACCCACGAGGTCTTTCCTGTGTCCTTCACTGTCATGGCCTCTCCCCTGTCTCTTCCAGGACTCCTTTTAGGATACCATGTCCATGGCTTCCCCCATGGCTTCCATCATTGCTTCCCCCATGGCTTCCCTCATGGCTTCCTCCATGGCTTCCTCTGTGGCTTCCATCATTGCTTTCCCCGTGGCTTCCCCCGTGGCTTCTCCCATGGCTTCCCTCATGGCTTCCATCATGGCTTCCATCATGGCTTCCTCCCTGGCTTCCTCCATGGCTTTCCCCATGGCTTCCATCATTGCTTCCCCCATGGCTTCCCTCATGGCTTCCTCCATGGCTTCCTCTGTGGCTTCCATCATTGCTTTCCCCGTGGCTTCCCCCGTGGCTTCTCCCATGGCTTCCCTCATGGCTTCCATCATGGCTTCCATCATGGCTTCCTCCCTGGCTTCCTCCATGGCTTTCCCCATGGCTTCCATCATTGCTTCCCCCATGGCTTCCCTCATGGCTTCCTCCATGGCTTCCTCTGTGGCTTCCATCATTGCTTTCCCCGTGGCTTCCCCCGTGGCTTCTCCCATGGCTTCCCTCATGGCTTCCATCATGGCTTCCATCATGGCTTCCTCCCTGGCTTCCTCCATGGCTTTCCCCATGGCTTCCATCATTGCTTCCCCCATGGCTTCCCTCATGGCTTCCTCCATGGCTTCCTCTGTGGCTTCCATCATTGCTTTCCCCGTGGCTTCCCCCGTGGCTTCTCCCATGGCTTCCCTCATGGCTTCCATCATGGCTTCCATCATGGCTTCCTCCCTGGCTTCCTCCATGGCTTTCCCCATGGCTTCCATCATTGCTTCCCCCATGGCTTCCCTCATGGCTTCCTCCATGGCTTCCTCTGTGGCTTCCATCATTGCTTTCCCCGTGGCTTCCCCCGTGGCTTCTCCCATGGCTTCCCTCATGGCTTCCATCATGGCTTCCATCATGGCTTCCTCCCTGGCTTCCTCCATGGCTTTCCCCATGGCTTCCATCATTGCTTCCCCCATGGCTTCCCTCATGGCTTCCTCCATGGCTTCCTCTGTGGCTTCCATCATTGCTTTCCCCGTGGCTTCCCCCGTGGCTTCTCCCATGGCTTCCCTCATGGCTTCCATCATGGCTTCCATCATGGCTTCCTCCCTGGCTTCCTCCATGGCTTTCCCCATGGCTTCCATCATTGCTTCCCCCATGGCTTCCCTCATGGCTTCCTCCATGGCTTCCTCTGTGGCTTCCATCATTGCTTTCCCCGTGGCTTCCCCCGTGGCTTCTCCCATGGCTTCCCTCATGGCTTCCATCATGGCTTCCATCATGGCTTCCTCCCTGGCTTCCTCCATGGCTTTCCCCATGGCTTCCATCATTGCTTCCCCCATGGCTTCCCTCATGGCTTCCTCCATGGCTTCCTCTGTGGCTTCCATCATTGCTTTCCCCGTGGCTTCCCCCGTGGCTTCTCCCATGGCTTCCCTCATGGCTTCCATCATGGCTTCCATCATGGCTTCCTCCCTGGCTTCCTCCATGGCTTTCCCCATGGCTTCCATCATTGCTTCCCCCATGGCTTCCCTCATGGCTTCCTCCATGGCTTCCTCTGTGGCTTCCATCATTGCTTTCCCCGTGGCTTCCCCCGTGGCTTCTCCCATGGCTTCCCTCATGGCTTCCATCATGGCTTCCATCATGGCTTCCTCCCTGGCTTCCTCCATGGCTTTCCCCATGGCTTCCATCATTGCTTCCCCCATGGCTTCCCTCATGGCTTCCTCCATGGCTTCCTCTGTGGCTTCCATCATTGCTTTCCCCGTGGCTTCCCCCGTGGCTTCTCCCATGGCTTCCCTCATGGCTTCCATCATGGCTTCCATCATGGCTTCCTCCCTGGCTTCCTCCATGGCTTTCCCCATGGCTTCCATCATTGCTTCCCCCATGGCTTCCCTCATGGCTTCCTCCATGGCTTCCTCTGTGGCTTCCATCATTGCTTTCCCCGTGGCTTCCCCCGTGGCTTCTCCCATGGCTTCCCTCATGGCTTCCATCATGGCTTCCATCATGGCTTCCTCCCTGGCTTCCTCCATGGCTTTCCCCATGGCTTCCATCATTGCTTCCCCCATGGCTTCCCTCATGGCTTCCTCCATGGCTTCCTCTGTGGCTTCCATCATTGCTTTCCCCGTGGCTTCCCCCGTGGCTTCTCCCATGGCTTCCCTCATGGCTTCCATCATGGCTTCCATCATGGCTTCCTCCCTGGCTTCCTCCATGGCTTTCCCCATGGCTTCCATCATTGCTTCCCCCATGGCTTCCCTCATGGCTTCCTCCATGGCTTCCTCTGTGGCTTCCATCATTGCTTTCCCCATGGCTTCCCCCGTGGCTTCCATCATTGCTTCCATCATGGCTTCCTCTGTGGCTTCCATCATTGCTTTCCCCGTGGCTTCCCCCGTGGCTTCTCCCATGGCTTCCATCATGGCTTCCATCATGGCTTCCATCATGGCTTCCTCCATGGCTTTCCCCATGGCTTCCATCATTGCTTCCCCCATGGCTTCCATCATGGCTTCCTCCATGGCTTCCTCTGTGGCTTCCATCATTGCTTTCCCCATGGCTTCCCCCGTGGCTTCCTCATGTTACTGGGCACAGATACCATAGAAAGGAGGCAGAGCAGACGTGCAGGGAAGGAGCAAGGCTTCAGTGGGGCTTGTGTCCATGGGCAGAAGGGAGCCAGCACTGGCCAAAGAGGAGACAAGGCTGTACTTCAAACACAGAGAGAAGCAGGCACTGGTTTGCCAAGGTGGGTTAATGGGCGGCCATCATCTTGTCTGAAGCGCCTCAGGTGCTTAGGCTGCTGAAGGAGCTCGAGGGTGGAAGAGAAGACAACACATTCTTTTTTAAATTTTATTTATTATTTTTATTTTATGTGTATGTGTGTATTGCCTACATGTAGGGAAGTGCACCCATGTCCTGCAATGCCTGTGGAGGTCAGAAGAGGCTGTCGGATCCCCTGGGACTGGAGTTACGGACAGTTGTTAGCTGCTATGAGGGTGCCAGGAATCAAACCCAGGTGCTCTGCAAGAGCAGCCAGCGCTCTTAACCACTGAGCCATCTCCCCAGCCCCCTTTCAGGTTTCTAATGGAAGCTCCTCCTTTAGGGTCCCATCATGTTTTTTTCTCTCTCCTCTCCCCCCGCCCCCCGGACCTCACTGTAACCCAAACACTGGGATTAAAGGTGTGCACCACCACACCCACCCCTGTACTGTCCCTTTTAAAGCTCTCCCACCTCAAAGTCTGATTTTAGGTCCTGGGAGCTCAAGGCTCTTTCTCCTAAATAAAGTTCATTCCTGAAGGGTAATTTTGCGTCAGACCCTTTTCTCAACCAACCCACTGGCTACTCTAACATATGGCACTGCACATAAGAACAGATAGGCCATGTCTCCATGTGAACATCTTTAGGGGCAAAAGGGCCACTAGTTCTT